GTGTCTAATGTTTTTTAATTTTGTATTTTTTTTTTTCTTCGGCCTCGGTCACACCTGCTCTTGGGTGTTGACTCGAGTCTTGCAGCTGAAAGACACAACTTTCAACGCGGTTTAGAAAAATCCGCGTTTGAATGTAGGTACTAGCTGCTGTGGTCAGTATTTCGGTCGGACTACACGTGCAGCTTAGAAGAGCTGTTCTTAGTGGTGATGCACAGGTAGATAATATGTGCCCCTCTTACAGAAGGTGACAGTACCTGGGCTTTCAGCCCACGTTTTGAGGTGCAGGGGTTGTCGAGTGATTGGTTTGGGCTGAGGCAGAAATTTGGATGAGGAGGAGAGACCATGAGGGAGATGAACAGTAACACAGACCTCTTAATCATCATCGCACAGGTTTTTTTGAACTGAGCACTTACCACAGTAAGTCCTGGATCTGGTGTTTGGCCTGTGTCATTTAGCAGACTGTAGTTCTCCCGCGTTTGGTTTGCTGAAGGTTATGAATCTGCCTTGGTGATGGCATTGACTCTGCTATTCCAGAACAGGCCTGCTAGCAGGAAACAAAGCTGTGACATGGCCTAAGAGCAAACTTCACATCCTTTAATTGAACAGCAGTCACATCAGTAAATGTGCAGGAAAGCCTGTAGCTTGAAGGAAGGGAATCTGTGCTTTGATGTTAAATCTGTGCTTTGATGCATTAAAATGGAAAACTAACGATGTGCATTGGTTTCTTTGTGCTTCGCTTTAAGGGCATGCGTGTATCATCTTGATAAGTATTGTCTTTATTTATAAATACTGTATTTGTGTAATCTCAACTCTTCCTTTTTTCCACAAAAGCAGCTGGAAGCCATTTGTGTCCAAGTTCAGCCAGGACAGATGAAGGAAACTGAAAGGCCGATGCCATCATTGGCACCAATCCAGCCCAAAACTATAATGCTGAGTCAGTCGGTTGGTAGAAATTCTAGCATGCCAGGACTTGGCGTTATTAATCCCCAGATAATTAGGATACAGCCTGTTACAGGAACTGAGCAGCAACAGCAGCAGCTATTCCTGCATAGTTCTTCCGAGTCTCCAATTCAGTTGCTTATGCAGAGACCTTTACCATCTCATGGATCAGTGTCTGCGAACAAGATTCCCACGTCTAAGGTGCTGAATGGACAGAAAGCTGCATGTGCCACAGTATCGGCTACGAGGTCTCCAAATATTACCATGGTTGCAGCCAGTTCAGCAAATACTCTGATACCATGCCTTGAAAAAAAACAAAAGGATGACAAGTTAAAAAAATCCTTGAAAGTGAAAACTCGTTCTGGACGGATTTCACGCCCCCCCAAATACAAAGCTAAAGATTATAAATTCATTAAAATGGAGGATTTGGCTGATGGTCATCAGTCTGATTCTGATGACTATTCTGAGCTGAGTATAGAAGATGATGAAGAAGGAAAGGTGAAGGGAAAGGATGCATTATTCAGTTCTTCAAATTATAATCTGAAACCCAAAATGTTTAAATGTCAGACTTGTGAAAAATCCTATATAGGAAAAGGAGGATTAGCAAGACATTATAAACTTAACCCAGGCCATGGACAGCTGGAGTCTTCACCTCAAAAAATACCTTTAAATAAGCCTAATGGAAGTATGTTTGTGGACAATGCCTGTGGAATAAGAGAGGAAACGATGAGTCCAGCACATTTGGATTCAATTGCTGTCACTTTAAATAATGAAAATGCACTAGCTACCAATCTGGAAGAAACTGTTGATCCAAAGGCTGGAGAACAGGTAAAGTGTGTTACTTAGAAAAGCTGTCAGTTCTGTAGAAAGTAGAGAATGGCAGTTCTGTAGCTGCATACTGTACTCATTTCGTCTGAGTTCCTGTTGACAACAGTATAAGTATTTTTTAAAAGACTGAAGGTAGGGATTTAAATGCATTTCAGTTCAGTAGGGCATGTCATTAGTAAAATGTGGAAGTCTCGTACTGCTCAGAAATATCCACCGATACACTAAATTAAACAAATTTCCCATTGAAGTGCTTTAAAAATCAAATTATTGTCTCTTGCAATGTTGCAGGAATAGTATTCTTGCACAGGCACATAAAGCAAAATGTTCACTGAGTGTTCACTTGTTACTGGTTTTCTGACATACAGTTTTCGGCTTGAAAAAATCTCATCTGCGTAAATAGCATTCTTCTCTGCAGTCGGGTAAGAATACTGTGGTGTTCAGTTACAGCATTTAGCATGACAGACAGCAAGACATCATCTGCTCTATCAATTTCTGTTACTGAAATAGAGATTCTTCTGTGATGACACTTACTGGGAATCCAACAGTGGACCGCAGCTTTTCCTACAGCAGGTTTTGAAAGTGTGGCTTTAGCTACCCCTGCAAACCACACGCTTTGGTGAAACTTGATTCTGTGGTTTGGAAGCAACTTTAGCTGCAAATTTTTTTCTGTGATGTTTTAAGCTGGTCACTTCAAAGTAAAGTTTCTCTTTTAATATTAAAATGACTCTAACATCTTGCAGCAAGAGCTGATACAGCTGCTGTCTAGGAAAAAATATTCTTTTAGATGTAGCAGTGTCACATTTATTACTTTTATTTGTAAATGTGAAGTTGTTCTCAGAAACATGAAAATTTACAGCTTAAGAGGCCAGTGCAGCAAACAAACCTCCCCCATCCTCTACACTCTTCTATCATCTTTGGAAAAAGAGAACTGCAGAATACTGAAGCCTGCTCTCTGTATTATTATAGAGTTGTTACTTCCCTGTGCAGCACTTATTTTACCCAGGATGATGGGAATTTAGAAAAAATTCAGACGGTCTCATACATAATGCTACTACTGACTGCTAGATTGCTGTTATACCTGCTACTTTTAACTAGCAAATACAGATTCTACAAATTTGCAGTTTAACTCACTGATTTGTTACAGCTTTTGGCCAGGTAAATACTTTCTATCTAGAAAGACTAGCAGGATTATTAAAACTGGCACATCGATACAGACAGGAAGGCAATCAAGATCCCCATGCTCAGCTTATTCTTATGTAATATTTAGAACTAATTTAGCAATTTAATCCCTGGATAGAACTGACACAAATTTGCCCTTTTTAGAGCTTTCCTAATCACTAGAATAGTAGGGAGCTACTGAACGTTGGGATGAAAATGTACTGATTATTAAAAGAAGCCTGATATACCTCAGTACTATTGTCAACTCCTCTCTTAAAAAATACTGGGACATTCTTAGAAATTCTAGCTTGGAAGGGAAGACAAGACGTGTTCAGTAAGAAATCACTGCTTTGATCAGTAAAAAAATTTTGCACTGAAATCACAATGATAACAATAGAAAACGTACTTTGAGTTTGCCATGTGGTCTTATAAGAGAAGCTACTTCTTAGCTGTGTTCTTAGGGAAGACTAAGGATTTTGAAATCTGGGAACTGGGCAATATATTTTGATTTTTAGTTACCGGGCTTGTCACTGTTCATGGCTGTTCAGAGTTTTCATCTTTCATATAAAGTCTTCATGCTTTGACATAGTTAAAATGAAACCCAAATTTTTCTTTGGGTGTGTTTTGCCGCTAATTAAGATTTATTTCTACTACCTCTTTATTTGAAGAGGACATATTCTACTTCAAAAATATTAAACATATTTAACTGACATAAAACAGCTCTTTAATTATATTCCCTTAATCTCTGTATTTGGTATGACGCTTTGCGGATCAAAAATGCTAACTTTGCAAATCATGGCATATACGTGTTGCAGAAGTAGCAGTCTTACTAATGTGTTGGATTTATTCCACAACTTTCTTTGCAGTTATGCTTGTATCCAGCTTTGCATTTATTTAATATGCTGTTTATTGTTTGCATAGATGAAGAACTTAATTATAAAATTGTCTTCCTCAAAACACTGTTTATTATGGTGAATAAATACTTTTCTCTTTCTTTTAATTAAGACTTGTAAGTCTGCAGAAAGCAGACACTTGTTGGCAGAACAACAGAATGAAACCAGTTCAGGACACCGGGGACCCGTAACACCAAAAGGACCTGGAAGACCCAGACGACCAAAGAGACGTGGTCGACCAAGGATGGGTGGAAGATCTAGGTGTTCTGGAAGGCTTAGCAGACCTGGTCAGTCCCCTTCAAAGTCACTTAGTAGTGTGTCAGCAGAACACAATGTATTCAGAAGAAAAGCTAGGTTAAAAGAGGTATGGTTCTCTTCTGCAATTACTTCACAAGTATCTTCCCCCCGCCCTTTTTTTTTTTTTTTTTCTTTTTGGATCACTTATTTTCAAGCAATCATTTTCAAAAAGACTGATTTTTTTTTTTTACATCCTTGTGTACTGACAAGATGAAAGCCTAAGATGTCTTCTAAGAAGAAAACATTAAGTTGTCTTTAAGGAAAAAATACTTCTAGCGGAACACTGGGCAAAGGGAAAACGGGAACTCAGTCTAGGAAGGGACTTTTGACGTGTAGATATCCTCTCGCTATCCTTTTTCTGGAGAAAGACAGTTACTAGCTACAATTACGTATCTCCTCCAACACAGTAAAAAGAAAGAAACCCAACTGAAGTTGGGCAGCATCAAAAAAGAAAAAAAAAAAAACCCAAACCACAGAGAAGCTCTTGGGGGAGGATCGAATGGGGATTAAAATCCATGCAACTAACGCAATTATTTGTTTGTTTCCTGTGTGTTGTGGAAGATCCTTTATAGCTACTAAATCTACTGATGTTGCTCTTCTTTCTATGAGTTGGCAACGTATGTGGGGCTGAGTTTTGTCTGTATATGGGTAGTAATTGTTTTGAGGTTTTCTAATTTATCTCCTCTTTTGGTGTTATGTTTTCATATATTCTCAAAGCTGCTTAAACATATAGAGTATCTTTCCAAAAAAGTAGCTATATTTTATGTACTGAATGTGGGATGCAAAACCTCTGTAGGCTACTTTGCTCTAATAAACTCATTCTGGCTTTTGACAGCTAATACAACAATGTGATAACGAAGACTTAATGGAGCTGGCTCTCCCACGTCTAACAAAGCTTGTTACAGTATATGAATTTCTGTTGATGAAGGTGAGTTTGGGTTTTGGGGTTTTCTTAATGTAACAATGTTAAATTATTTTAGGGAGACTTCCATTAGTATACATAAAAAGATTCCTCAGAATTTCCTGAGTTAGAATTGTGCAGAATGTAGATGTTCTACACATCACTTCAGCCTTACGCAGGCAAAACTCTGGTAGGTCTCTTGATTGAAAACCTTGCTTTTTGCTGCCTGGTTCAGTGGCATTTTTGAATATTCCGTAATCTTTTGACTTGAATGTTTCTATTTTAAAATGTTGAACACAACAAACAGACAGATTTCATCTTTTTTAAAATACAGGGAGGGGGAAACAAACCCTTTTTTCCCCTCTTATTTTTAGGTTGAAAAAGGGTATCCAGCCAAAGCTTACTTCCCAGATGTGTATAGGGAATTTGAAGACTTGCATAATATGGTAAAGAAAATGGCTTATGATCACCTCAGTAATTCTGATTTGCTGAGTTGCCAGCAGCCTGTGGAAATAAAAGATGCTAAGGTAATAAAGCACTCTATTTGGAACTGTGATTTTTTTTTTGTTTGTTTTGTTTATTTTAGATGCTTTGCGCTTTTATTTTTCTCTGATAAGCTTTGTCAGCCTGCTAAAGTTATTTGAAGAAAACATGTTTTTTCTGATGAGCAAAAATAGGTATTATTGTATAAAGTCCAACAACTAACTGAACAGAAAAAGAAATCCACAATAAAACTACAATTCTAGTTTATGGCAGTAGATACAAATAGAAATAATAAATAAAAAGCTAGCAGCAATGATACCTGTCTTGCATATCTAGGGTAGTATGAAGCTGCATGTTACTGCAAGGTGTATTTAACGTTAACTGCTAATAAAAGTACATCTTGATTTTTGATTAGGAAGGAGGGTGTTTATATTTAAAAGGGATAAGTGGTTTCATTGCAAAATGAGGACAAACTGAATGCATCTATGCAGTTCACAGTCGTACTAACAAATATGAAAGGTAGTGAATACATTAATAAAACTGCAGACTATCATTTCAGTGATAGTCTGAATCTTCAGATTCATTGTTTATGCAGCTGTATCTAGAAAGACAATGTAGGTTTGGTTTTCTGGTTGTTTTTTGTTGGGTTTTTTTTTTAATGTGGCTCTGTTTATCCTTATGGATCCTTATCAATTTATGTTCCCCTTGCTTAGAATAAAACAGCTCTTTGTATATAACACATTTTTGGCTTTCCCTTCTCTGTTTCCAGTCGTGAAAACACTATTTTGTATACTACTACCACCAAAATTTCTAAATGATGTGCTCATTAAGGTACATCAGCACTGAATGTGCAACTACCATGAAAGGGGAGCATACTGGAAAACTCGAGAGTAGGGATGGTGGAGATAAGATTGTGGTTCTTATAATAATCCTGGTTTAAAAAATGAAGTCCTGTATGGACTGTTAGCAGTGGTTAATATTTATTTTTCAGAATAAATCGTGATGTTCACTGTACGTACTAAAAAGCTTTCTAGAATTACTGTGTGCTCATCTGGCTATTTTGTAATTAACACTCATGTTTCCCTTTGGGGAAATGAAGTTGCACCAAGTAAAGGGATGCTGTTGATACTGGCAGTCCCAAAATGGCACCTCTTTGTTGCTTCTCTTCAGTGTAAATGTGCCTTCTTAATATAGAATTATGCTCTTGAAAAAACAAAAAACAAAAACCCCAAACCAAACCCCAAAACAAACAAGCAAAAAAACCAACCCAGCCTGGAGAAGTTGTATAGTAGCACACCTACATAAGGATGAAGCACAGGAATGGAATGGAGCCAGGAAATCCTTAACTACTAAGAGATACTCTTAAACAGGAAGACTTAAATGTTTTTTAAATAATGGAGAGCCTCGACAGTGTTCTATATTAAACTCTGCTCTTAGTAACTGTCTGTGGATTCTATATATAACCATTGTACTCCTAATTCTTTTGAGTTTGCCTGTTAATATTCACCTTTACATGAAGGTCATGTTCTACTAATATGGAGGCTAGTAGAAAACATGGGAGTCTAAATACTTCATTGAACTGTGACTGATTATTAGACGAGACCCCGTGTAGTTCTAGTTCAGTTTTAAGAAAACGAATCAGTATTTCAGCATTTGTGTATTCAGATTGGAGAGGCTAACTTTCACTTTTTTTCCTATAACTGTTTTTAAAGGTTGCTGAATCACTAGGAATTACAGAAATATTCACTGGAGAACGAAAGACGCAAGGTGTAGACTCTTGTTCACAATGTATAATTAAAATGGTTAGTGAGCAAGTGCCTGTGGAGATACTGGGACAAAAACGGTTAGCTGAGGTATGGAATACCTTTGTGAAAATTAAAAATGAAACTAAGACAAATTAAAACTTGTTAAAACAGATAATTATTCCTTACAAAATCTAATTAGTATTATCTGACTCGTGTTAAAGTAAGGCTTTCATGGTGCTTGGAATTTGGAAATACTTAAAGAAGTACTCCCTGCTGTGGATTCATAGCAGAGCATATGAACTAACATGCTAAAGATGTACTTTGGGAAGACACTTGGTAGCATTCAGGACAGAATCTGAAAGGCTTACTGGTAATCTCATGGTACAAGGAAGAAATAATTTTGTCGAGGCACTAGTAAATGGGGGCCCCACAGTGAGAAGGATCCCCGGATTCTAGTAACTTGTGTTGGAGTAAATGGGCTAAGTTACAGCAGGCTCAGACGTTGGAGAAGTGCTTGCTCTGCTAATTGGTGGTAGGTAGAGGTGCATGAAAAGTTCCTTTCTTTCTAACAAGTCAGTTGACCAGACTTAGTCTGTTTACAGCTGTAGCAGGGAGCCATGCTTCCTCTTCTTGAAAGTCACATCTCTGTGGTCTGTCCCCTTAACTGTTCTACTTTTAATTTAATCCAGAGTCGTTTCTGGTGGTGGATAAATAAGACTAGTGCTTTTCCATTTTCTGCCTGTGGTTAAATTTAAAGAGCTGATCAGTCTTTCTTCATTAACCAAACAATGCTGGGCAGGGTGTTCAGAGTCCTTTACCGAAATTTGCGAGAGCTCATAGCAGGTTTCATGCCATACAGCTAATCACAAAGGCTCAGGGGGAAGCTTTGATGTTGAAGCAAAGGCAGATTGTTTCAACCAAGTATCAAAAGTAATCAGTGGCATTTTGGCAAAGTGTGAGGGCTGTGTTTAAATCCTTACCTTTTAGGAAGACCTTTAGCGTAAAATCCTGCTTTCAAGGAGAGTATCAGTTCACTGCCATGAAGTGCCCACGGTTAGTTTGTGATCTTTTCCAATGCTGTCAGCTGTTATGGTGGCAGCCAGTTAATTATCTCTTGTATTGACAGAGCTCAGGGGAGGAACTGTTGCCATCAGCCAAAAGGACCAAGTTAGAAGACATAATGGAGAATGTGAATAATGCTTATGCCAGTCAAGATGAAGTGAAAGAAAAGAGTGGGAATTTGTGTACACTGTTTGAAAAAGATGGTAACCTCTTCAGATTTTCCAATTCTATTCTGTTCGTGGAGGAGCTGAACAAATCTCTTCGTTCTTTAAGCTACTGTGTTTTGTCTTAAGGTTTCAGTTCTTAACTTGCTTCCCAGGTCCTTCCAAAGCAGCTGTTTAACTGGAAAGGCCTCATGGGGCAGGGGGAAGTTACGGATGATGCAGACCGCAGCAGTAGCTCAATTCTGAATGCATGATAATCCAGTTATTGATACTACTGCAGTACTACGAGAATAGTACTGTCCTCTACTGTGTGCTTCCTGAATGCTTCCTGTCCACCCTTCAGCAGAGATGGTGCACGACCTTTGTGTCAGCCGTGGAGAGCAGAGGAAGAGGAAGCAGCATGCGTGCCCTTCCTCTTTGCCCCAGCAGGCTGCAACAGCAGAATCATCAGAGCTTTGTGGATCCTGGGGGAGGGAGAGCTGGTGCAGGCTGTCCTGTACCCCAGGGAGATGCGGGAATTGAGGCACCATTTTGCACCACAGTCTTTGGGTGGTTGCCTTTCTTTTTATCCCTTCTTTGTTTTTATTCCCCCTGCCCCTCAGATTGGCAGGATAACAGTAGATTAGAAAGGAAAGTAAGATGGGTCCCCACCTGTAATCTCCCAAAACTCCACTGGTCTTTTATGCGAAAGTGTTGCAGTAATTCAGAGGCATTATGATCACTGTTGTGAAAGATTCCAGCCCTTACCCATCTCTAGTAAGATGTGTGTATCAGTACTGTCCTCTTGCTTTGTAAATATCTTTTTTTGGCGTTGCTGTAAGCCACTTTGCTTTTGCCCTTTGTGCCTCTTTCTGTCAATGGTTGTGTTTTTGTTTTCCCCTTTAGTTTATTTTTCTTTCTCTGAAAGGCTCTCTGCGTGACCATGCTTATTTCTTGTTGTATTATGATTTTCTTCTGGGCTATGAGTTTTTTAAATTTTGTTTTACTTGCACGGGCTAGTAGGGCTTTTGCTAGTCTACAGTACAAAAAGTTAAAAACGGTCCCTTCTGCAGTGTTAGGCCTCCTTTGTTGTGCAGTGATATCTTTCATAACAAAAACCCCAACAACCTACTTGTTCCTTTTGATCTTCAATAATAAAAACTGACAGCTCATGCTACTGCAGCTTAGTAGTTATTGTTCAACTACCTACTGGGCTTGTGACCTGGCTCTTGGTCCAGGTCAAATAACTGGTAAAACACACTAAATTTCTAGTGTGTTTTACTTTTTCTGTCACAGGATGAAAGTGCTCCTGGGGCTGTTAGCAGAGCTAATTAGATATGTAGTAACTTGATGACATGTCTGAGTCCAGGATAAGCTTGATTATCAACAGAAATTTTATCAAGTTTAAATGCTTCTGTCAGTTTACTAATGGTAATGAGGATGAGCAGCTGGCAACTTTGTGCCTGGTATATTCTTTATCTTTTAATGTTACCAGCTGTATGCCAGATGGAAAAAATGGAGTTTGACTTTCAGCCCAGGTTGTTTTCAGGATTAAGAGAAAATGCTGCTTCTAATGTAAGGTCCCTTGGTATGGAAATACTCAATAATATTTCACTATCCAAAAATTCCTCAAGTATTTTTATACTGGCTTTCTCATTGGGAAGTGTTGTGAAACTCTCGTAAGGTGCTTCACGTTTGCTAATTTGGGGGAAGAAAGCAGGGAAGTAGTCTAGCTTTTCCTCCAAATTATTGCTGAAAAGCAATTTTTTGGTCATGTGATATTAGATTGCCCAACAAAATTATATTTCTTTCACCTTTTCAGGTTTTAATCCATTAAATGGAGAAATCCTGCTTTCAGAAGATAGGCATATCACTTGCTGCACAACTGGAAGTGTATTACCGACAGCAGAGGAACATAATTCACTCGCTGATTCAGGAGTCAGAATCGATGCTGAAAATTCAGGTACCTTCTCCCAGACTGTGAAAATGAGGATGGAGTATTCCCAACCTGTGAACATACAGGGACCAGATATGGCAGGTGATGCATCTCTGCTACATACTGAAGTTGTATTGCCCGTTGAAGCAGATGGCTCACCTGAATTAGTTCAAGTGCACTTTGCGAGTGAGAATACAGCAGGTGGACTGTCAGCTCCTGAACTTTGCAACTCTGTGTCAGAGAATGCAGCGGGCAGTCAGAGCACTAGCTTACCAATGAGCGAAGAAAATGGTCACAATCAAAAATATCAGAAACTGCAAGAAGAAAACCATAATTTTGCAATTAAAGAACATTCTGAACAACTTCATAATGCTAACATGACTGATGAGATGCAGGAACTTGAAAAAGTTTTTTCAACAAACATCGTGCCAATAAACTACCCACACAGTGCTCAGACTGAGTCGCACCAGAACCCTGTCCAGGAAGCCTCCCTGTCTGCTCATGTGAACTGTGAAAACTCTTTTAAAAACATGAATGAATTTTCTTGTGGGACAGAGGAACAACATGAGCTGGAGAATACAGTTACTGTAGATGAAACTGTAGCCTTTGAGATTACTGATGAGAGCCATGATTTTTTGTCTCAGGGACACGAACAGATTTTTATTCAGACTTCAGATGGGCTTATCCTGTCTCATCCAGATACTGCTGTTTTGTCTCAGGCAGAAGGTATCGTTATTGTAACTGATTCCAATGGTACTACAATGCACATCCGCACACCTGAGGGGATACCTTTGGAAACCGTGGAAGCACTACTGGCAATGGAAGCAGATGGCCAAAGTGAAGATATTTTGCTCTCGCAAAGTGAATTGGAGCCATAAGTTAGAAAACTGTATATGCTTTCTTCTGGAAAAGACTGACTCTATAAAATGTATATTTTTCTAATGTGAATACTGAAATAATTGGAATTTAACTTATTTGTAAACTGTTTCTATGCCCTGTACTTTTTATAACTTATGTTTATATAAATCTAGCAGCATTGCAACCAAAAATTCTAGAATTAACATCGTTCTATTTGCTTTATATGTTGGGGGTGGGTGGAAAGTGGAAATCTGTCAAACTTAAAACTGTTGCACTATTCCCTTTTGTTACATAATTCCTTTTCTCTCTAGCCATCTAAAAATGCAGTAAGTTGTACTGCTGTTCAGCAGTGATGTGCTGTGTACTGGCAAGCTGTATATGGGTAAAATAAAAACTATATTAAAAATGTGCGTTTTCTGTGCCACTGAGATTACAAAACACTTTCTTATTGCACTTTCTTAAAGCTAGCGTGAATATTCATTAGCATCTAGACTCGATGCGCACAAATCTGCCTGGAAAAATGGGCAGTTTTAAATATAATCAACACTTGTGCTTTCCAGGAACAATGTGACAGCCTAGCTGATCCTTACTTAAATACGCATCCACTGAGTTAGAGACAAGAATAGCTTCAAACAAGATCTGACTTGTACTGGACTGTTGGAAATGTATTTAAGTATGCTTGTCTAATGTTCAGCCACACCTCTAAAAATTGCTGTTACTTAGACAGAAATGGGAAGGTGCATAAGTAGTGATCTGATTTTCCTTAACGAGATGCCAGATTCTTTTTTTACTTTAGTCTGTGATGGTCTATTTTTGTTAGACTTGTATTATACTTTTTATTTTAGATGATGCATCCGTTATCAGTTCTAAGCTTTGACCTTCCTAGTAACTCCACACTGCCCTGTACTACTTAATGATGATAAAAAGATACCCTTGACTATAATCCCTGTTTCTCTATGCAGACAGAAAACTTACCAAATTACTTATCTACTGCTATCTTGTATTTTTGTGATACTTTCAGTATGTTGCTTGGATGATAATATTTTTGTGGAGACCTCCTAGCAGCTTCTTGTCCAAGGCACTGTCTTTTCTTTCAAGAGGCTTAGCAGGTGAAAAAGAACAGCCTTAAATGACAATGATTGATGAGCTATTGTAGACATTACTGAAAACTGGTAACATACCTTTTGAAATGTGTGTGTCGCCTCATTGCTAAGTACACAAGGCTACTGAGGTAACTGGACAAATCAGCTAAAAGGACCTGTAACATGCAGGAGAACTGTTCTTAAATCAAGTATGAACATTGATTTTTCATGGTCTTGTTACCGAGTAAAAACTTACACTAAAATTGAATCTAAACGAGAGAGGGGACAATTTAGAGATGAAACAATCTGCTCTACTCTCTCTCTTTAATGTAGTTGGTTTTGGTGGTGTTTGGTTGGGTTTTTGCTGTTTTTTTTTTTACTTTGTTGCCCAAGTGGAAGATTAATTTGATTAGCCAAAACACTGCATTTTATGTGTGGATGTGAAAGGTGTCACCATATGTTAGTGAGCTCCTGTCTGGTGGTTGGGTTTATGGTGTAGTTGTTGTTTTGGGTTTTTTCTCCTCTTTTTTTCAGGAGGTGGTAATGGTCAGAGGATACAGGCCTACCTTATAAATGAAGATACCATGCAAAGCAAGGTTCTGTTGGTCTTTCAAAGTCTTTGATTGCAGTGAGCAATTCTTTATTACACTCTTTTGTACTGACTGTCTAATAGCTACAATGTGACAATCAACTGCTTAAAGCTATAATGGCAAAACACCTCTGCAATGATTTTGCAATAATCTTCCTGTATCCGATAGCAGTCAATGAGCAAGGGGGTCTGTGAATATGAAGACTCCTTCCTGAAGAGCTTATTTCCTCCAAGAAACAAGAACAAACCATTATTTCCACCTGTGCAGAAAATGAAAATTTGCTTCAATTCTGCCTTCCCTATTGATTTGCACATGCTGAGAAATACAATACACCTATTCTCATCTTAAAAGAACAATTCTATAAGTGAATCAACCTTTTCTCCTCAAAAAATATTTTTCAAGTATGAAGGTGTTTCCATAGTGACAAGGGTCTGGCCCTATGTGGATAAATTAAGGTGGCTGTTAAACTAGGTGGAACGCTTGCACAGAAAAATAGTAAAACCCAACAAAGCTATTCAAAATATTGTATTCTCCTTGAGCTACAGCAGAATTTCTTTTTAGACGCTAGAAATTTGGGGTAAGAATAGAATACTATTAAGCCGTCAGAAACAACCTCGTTGTTGAACGGAGCAATGTGTCAAGAAAACTTCCAATTCATGTCTGCCTGTTCCGTTATTGCAGGAAACTCATGTATTTCCCTTACCAAGCTTATGGGGTTTCAGCTTGGAACTAGTTAAGTAAGTGACCCTACTTTTCCTATGAGAAATCTGTTCCAGAATCTCTCAGTGTTTTAATTAGATTTTTCTAGTGTCAAACCACAGCCATTATGGTCATTTCATAGCAGCGTGCTTTTTGTGTTACTGTCTTCTAGTTCAAACAGTTGTTTAAAGGAGAATCAAGGGTAAACATCTGTCAGGGCACAACAATGAGTCAACAGCACTTAGAAACACTACACAATTGTGTGAAATAGGAGATCTAAATCAACAGTTTATATAGGAGCAGGTCATAGAGGCAATCAGTAAGCGGGAGGAATTTAGATTATTAATCATACTAAAGTAAGCAGAAGGCCTGAATTCACTACATGTTAGGGATTTAAGTAAAAATGTGATGACCCAGCTGCATAGTTTCCACGGAATACACTTTTCTGAAAAGTGATAATTTGCAATAGCAGCTAACAGTTATTAAAGGCTGGGTAAGTGTAGCAGCTTCTCCATGCTACCCAGGTCTGACGTAATGGTATGCTACAGTGATTATTACGTCTCTAGGAGTGAAAGCATATTAAGGGTATTGAATTCCACTTCAGCGTTTAGCTTTTGCATTAACTGTTTCTCCTGAATACACTCTCTACTCTCTTTTCCAAGAAAGCAGCATGAAAAAGAAAAGCAAGAATCTGAGTCACCAATTCTTGTCATGTAAACTGCTAACCAAAAATACAGAGGGGGCACACCTTTAAACCAAAACCACTTGGCATCAGAAACAGTAATCCAAGGAAAAACTCACTGAGCCCTATGACAGGAAGCAAACAATACAGGATAAGGACATGACTGAAGCAGGTCTTGTTTTTATTCAACAGATGCTTTCATGAAACATCTCTAAAAGAAAAAAGTTACAATGAATTAAAAAAGACAAGACCTTTTTGTATCGTGCCTGTGGAATGGTGAGTTGTACTAAAATTTCCCAGTGTGATAGTTCAGGCTTGGACCACCCTTCAAGAGTGATGTACCTAACCACACTATGATCAAAACCAAACCAGAATTTACACTAGCGTCTCCGACAGCGTTTCAGAACCACATACCAAACTATGTGGATCCTTTTGGATCCTGCCTTTTGTGCTTTCCTTTTCCCCATTTATAAAGCAAGTACAAAAGCACTAGCCCTGTTAAGTCATGCAAAAAAAACCCACACGAAAGATCAAGAAGTGCTGAATTTCTATGGTGGAAGGGACAACATAGGTATTTTAGACTGTCAAGACTTGGGAAGTAGTTAAATTCTTTGCTGTAGGTGCCTATGTGCGTTGAATCCCCCCAGACCACCAAGTACTGCTTACCTCTTTCTGATTATAGGGGACTTGGCCTCCCACCTGTAGCCTCTCCATTGCACTTAAAATGGATAAAGCAACCAAAACCAGATTGTCCCATGAAAAAAAAGGAGTATCAGCTGAGACAAAATAATAAATACAAGTAGAGAAAAATATTTTTAATAAGTTTTACAAAAATGCAACTTACTTGGTAAGCCTTGCAATTTGCCGTTTCAGTTTCACGTAAGCATCATTAGAAGCAAGCCATGTAACATTTGAAATTCTAGCACTGTCTATGTCCTGTTTCCAGCAGCATGGCTTCAAGTAGTAGTTTGCTGCTGTTCTCAATGTAAGGCTGGTATAACCATGATGATAAATAGACCATCATCAGATCCTGGTCAGCAGAATGAGCAATTTCTCGTACAATTGTTTGCTTGAGTTGCAGTTCCTTCTTGTACATTTCAGAGAGCTTCAGAGAAACGTCATCTGAAATGGATTGAAAAACCAAGCACATTGACCAGAACTTTTCAGCAATTCTCTAAAAGTTAAATTACACTTGTAATATGTTGATCATTAAAAAACCCCCTACCTTTCATAAGCTATTCCCCATATTTAGACATCTTGTTTTTTACAGCATTAATAATGTTTATACACTAGAATATAAAACGCTAAATAATTTCCTCAGCTTTTGGATATTTATACACTCGTGATTTTGACATGATTCCCCTTTTAATTCTAGAATAAGCAGTGGTATTGATTCTTAGGACCCACTGTAAAATTAGCAATTATAGCTATTCTTTCAAATAACTGAAATTTGATTTTAAAATTCGGTAATGCTATCTTGAAATACAAGCTTCACATTTTAGAGTCACTGTTGATTTTAGCTAATCTAAAGGATGTCCTCACATGCTGTCAGGCACTTTAGCAATGCATGATCCCCAGTAAGTGATACCAATAGTGAAAAGTAATGGTGAAACAAAACAACAGACTAAAAATGAAGTGTGTAATGTAGAAACTAATATTGTTACTAGTTATGTTAGTAATACTGGTAGGGGGGTTAAAATATATTTATGTAAGTCTTTAATTGTTCGACTTTCTGAAAAATAACCACACAAATTATTTTTAAAGAGAGACTGATCTTGTGTTTCTAACTTAGCCTGAACTATCGCTACCTTCAGGAGGATTTAGTCTTTCATGGAGTAGAGAGCATCACTAAATGACTCAGTCACAATGACCGTTTTGACAGCAGTCATCTTTGTCATTCTTACCCTTTTAAGCTGGCAGAAACCAATACATAAAATTCCCACTAACTTGTGGTAGTAAAGTAAGAAGCAGGGCTTCACAAAGGTATGACTTTCACTTCACAAAGAAGGCAGCTGGTTTGCATGCAATCAGGCTTCTCTTGAATTCAAACAGTTTTAAAACTGCGGTAATACAAGTTGGGACGCAGTACCTTTTGCCATCAAGTGAATGCTAAAAGAATTTATATTAACAGTAGACAGTAACTGAACATTTCTTTACCTGTCTTGACTGACATTGAGATCAGAGGAATTTTTCTTTGGCTGCCTGAGAATTAACTGAGGTACAGCTTGTTCTTTGCATTCAAGGATTTCGTTTCAGTGTCAAGTAACAAGTCAAGTCAGTTAAGCCTACAGCTTAACACTACCAAGTTGCAAATATCTCTCTCTCTACAACAGATGCGGCTGTTGCAG